AGAAATGTGCTGAAAAAAATCTGCTCTCTGTTAAACAGAAATTAGGGAAAAAATAAAAAAGCGGTCTAATAATTCAGGGGGGCTAATAATTCTGACTTCAACTGTATATAATGTATATGTGATGCATGTAATTGTAAATGCATCTTTGCTGGTACCTTTTTTTTTTTTTTTTTTTTTTTTAAACGTGTGCAAATAGCAGCCTGTAATGCTTCTTTGAGAGGTTTTGTTTATTCGTTTATGTAAATTGAACACAATTAAAAAACTATCATATACTTGAAAATGTTTCACTTAACAACATAAATAAGAAATCGCTACCTGAAGTAGCCTATCTTTTATATATATATATATATATATATATATATATATATATATATATATATATATATATATATATATATATATATATATATATATATATATATATATATATATAAAATGCTCTCCAATAGGCTTCTGCCAGTATCCAATTTTCTTGTTGCCATTAATTGCCAAAGTTTTTATTACTGTATATGGTATTATGACAATATTGACCTAAGCTGCAAAATTAGTAAATTTACAGGCATAATAACAAAAACATTTTGTACGTTACTTTATGTATATACACATGTTTAGAGTAAACAAATATTTCAACCAGATTAAAGTGCAAAAAGTACTTCAGGCAACACTTCACCATTAAGTCTCATTAATAAAAGTTGAAGCATTAAAATCAACAGTGAGAAAGGACAGATTTATTAGTTATTATGTTAGTTTGAAGTAAAAATACAACCGCATTTTATTGGTTATTAACTCCATTTAATCAAATGATTGCGACTACAATTTTAACACAACTAAGAAATTAACATCACCTAAATTAATAAAAACTTTCTAAAAGTTTTAATCGTGATGCGAGTCAGTTAAATTAGCTAAATTAACTAATGTTAGAGCCTTATTGCTATACTATACAAGTCAGAGCATGTCAGTATTTCAGCATGTAGTAGGCCAGATTATCATGTGAAGAAGTTAGACTATTACTAATAATTCAGTCAATAACTATTAAGTTAATTCAAGCATTTGGCACTGTTGTGAACTCCTACAAATGCAATCTGCGTTTGCTTAAGACCTGTCAAAGTTTAAATAATACTAATAATTAGTATTTGCTGTATTTTGAATTGCCCACAACATGTTGAATTATTGAATATTGGCATATGTCCACTCTCCACAAATTCTAGATGATGGCATAAAGCACAGCCTGTATGCTTTCTTTATTTTACATATAGAAAATCATGGGATGTCACTTTTTACACTGGTAAAAGTTCACCTATTTGTGAAATTGAAAACAAAAGCAAACGATTCAAGAGGGTTCCATTTTTAGCAAGTTTTCTGTGTAGCAGAATTTTGAGTTGTCCAAAATTTTTACAGAAATGTTATGGTGAATTAAAAAAAGCAAGAGGACAAGCTTGCCTTGTAAACAGCATTGCCAGATTTTGTTGTAATAGTGCTAATACACTTAGCAGTTGTTGTTTCCGTTTGTTACATGTGGGGTTCTTCCTTTTGGTCACGTAGTACTATGATGTCATCATTTCCAAAAAGTGGTGTTTTTCCTATGTACATCGCTACATACTGTAACCCATTATCAAAATAATTAGTACTGATAAACGCTAAACTTTGTGGATTGGCCTAAATCCATTGCCAGGTGGATTTGGCCTATGCGAAATGTGCTGTAGTTTAAACCACATGAAGCTATATTTAGGGATTCTTAATGCACTTTTATTTATATATATATATATATATATATATATATATATATATATATATATATAGTTAATTTTTAGGGGGTTTATTACCTTTAATTGGAAAGGACAGTGGAGGATACAGACAGGAAAGAATTGGGAGCAGAAAGAGGGTAAGTGTCAGCAAAGGACCTCGAGTTGGGAATCAAACTCTGGTCGCTGTGAGCACCATGGTGCTTTATGTTGCCGCACTTAACCACTAGGCTATTGGCGCAGACCAAAATGCACTTTTATTTCATGTGTGAGTGTTTGTGTGTGTGTCTTCTTAGGTGTTTGTGGCAAACCCCAATAAGACACAGCCTGTGCTGGACATCCTCCTCAAGAATCAGTCCAAGCTGGTGGAGTTCCTGAGCCACTTTCAAACGGACCGTTCTGAAGACGAGCAGTTCTGTGATGAGAAGAACTATCTCATTAAGCAGATCCGGGACCTCAAACGGCCTGCACCGGCAGAGGAGTCCTAATGGGAAGATGTGGAGCGTAGAACCGGGGCGCTCGGCTAGTGACATGGTTTGATTTATGTGGGGTGAGATTTGGATTGAAGGGAAAGTCAAAGAACGAAACAAAGAAAGGCATCGCTGGGAATAAATCTTTTTCATATAACCTGGTTGAGAAATGCTGTCAGGATGTGCAAACACATGTCTGTCCCTTTATTTGGGGCGAGCAGGTTTTTGCTGCAGGAGGAGCATGTGGAACTGAAACACTCCATTTAAACCTATATACAATTTGAGCACTGCCCTTACAAAAGAAGGCAAATCGATTCGCCTTCATATGGTAAATTAAAACATTTATCCAAATTCATCCGTTCAGGGCTTTTTAATATTGTTTTTAAAAGTTAGAGTAAGCACATTGGTACAGGTATGGCTTTGCATATTTGCACTAAATCTGAGAGCTTTGCTTCAGGTTGGCCATTAGTGCCAGTTCTTAATCTCGCAACAAGAAAACCAAATGTTAATGAACACACAAAGAAAAAATACTAGATCATAAATACAGTAGAGTATGGGGCCATCTTTCCAGCAGACGAACACCAATTTAATGGGACATTCTCACGTTTAAACTAGTTAAAGGACATTAAAGCATTTTAATAGCCAGAAAATGTCATGTGGTTAAGCAAAACCTTATCTTTGAGGAAAAATAGCCCGGGGAGTTCAGTGGTCATGCTGCACTCCATTTCCAATTTTAACTGGGTGCCTTATTTAAAAAGTTTGCTCATTCTGGGTCTTCTATTACATTTATTTATCTATAACATTGGATTTGTAGTATTGCTCTGCTTTTGCTTGGGTTAACACCTTTAGGAGTACTAGTTTTATTTTAAACTATTAAAACATTATGTGAAATAACTGAAAAGGTAATACTCCTTTAAAAAAATTTTCTCAGTTAAAAAGAGGTTCACCCCAAAATTTTGTAATTTACTGACACCCAGGCAATCCAAGAGGTGACCCCTTTTTCCAGTAGATTTTAGTTAACCTTGATCTTGATTAGATTTCAATTTAAAATGAATATCACTGGCTGTTGGCATGTTTAGAGCTAAAAAAAAAATTAAAAAAAACCATTAACAGCGTTTTGCCTCGATAGGTTTTTATTCTTTTTTTTTTTTTTTTTTGACTCTCAACGTACTGGTAGCTTTACGTTGACTTTAACTTTGATTTATTTATGATCACATTTTGAGCAAAAGAAGTCGCCAACATCTTGGATGCCTAAAAATGCAAGTAAATTAACAGCAAATTTAAATTTTGAGGTGAACTCTGCATTTAAAATAAACTGTGAAATCAACTCTAGTGGGAAAACATGGTACACAATTACAGTGCAAGACATGATAACCTCCACACACACACACACACAAACACTGTAACCCTGAAAAAATGTAAAAAGCCGAAGCATGTTGCGAGTTTCTTCATGCTGCATTTTGATGGACTTCGCTTAGACTAGCCAATTAAGCCTTTAAAAGATGGATGCAATAGGAAAGACTGTTTAACACCGTTCTTCATGTCCTGCACTGTCAAACTTGAATGAGCCAAAGCCGTGGTAACACACGTTATATCTTAAGATGCCTGACTATGTACAACTATGGATTGCACTTTTCAGTACGTCTTTGACGTTTTCGATGAAATGCAGAACAGGATTCTACTGAGAGGTTTCACCATTAGTCTTTATACCCTAAGTTGAATATGTTTTATGTACTCTGTTTGCACAAAAGTTCCTTTCTTATATACCTCATAGGTTTTAAATTCCTAAGTGCTGTTTTTTTTCCCCCCTCTGCTTCGATTAAATTGATATTGTAGTAACACTTTGCAGTAAGGTCAGAGATTTTATTGATGTTTCAATTGGAAAAAATAACAATAGTTTGTATTATGAATTAATGAACAAAGTGTGCAATTAAGATGTGTTAATTAAAAGGAATAATTAACCCAAAAATGTAAATTTTACTAACCTTTAAGTGGTTTCAAACCTTTTGTGATTTTTGTTGTTGTTTAAAGCAATATATTTTGGAAAGGGGTAACCATCTGACATCTATATTAGGAAAAACAAAATACTATGGAGGTCTGTGCTATGGCTACCAGTTCTGTACATTTTCTTTAAAATCTTTACATTTCAACTGTTTTGGAACCGGTGGAGGGGGAGTACATTATTTATTTTTTTGGGTGAACTATTCATTTTAATGCTAGCAAATCAAACCTTATTGTAAAGTGTTTCTGGTATTGTAGATTTAGAGTGTAGTTTGAATTATGCAAGTCTAAAAAAGACCTTACAACATGCCACAGTTGTGGTCTTGTAATGCTGAATAGGACCTACAAGGGAAACTATTGAATCTTTGCAGTTTGCTAATGGGTACATAGAATGTTACTCACTGTGCTTTTGTAAATGAGCCACAGTTTCACTCCAAAATGTTTTTAATGAATGCAAATGTTTGCTTTTGCTTTGACATTTTTCAGTCAGCTCATCGCCAGAAGCAAAAAACCAAACATTTTTTATTTTGCAAGTCTGACTTGTGCATGCGGAACTTTATTGTATTTTGGAGGGAAAGGGGGAAAACCTTCAGAGCTGCCTTTCTTTGTTTTGTATAAAATGTAACCTGTGTAAAATCACGAAGCCTTTGTGTTGAACGGGGGCACAGACAGATTCACCCCCCCTTTAAAAAAATATCTCCAGCTATCTATAACCAAACATTTCCACCATTTCATTAAATGTCACTTGATACCACAAGTACAAGAATGGGTGTTCAGCCAAATGTGATTATTCCGCTGACAGGGTTTTAAAGGAGGTTTTGTCCTTAAGCTTGTTGAAGCTTTGAGCCTTCAGATTCTCCATGCAGTGATAGTGATCTCTGAGGACAAAGAGATTCCAAATAATGTTTAATCTTTGATAAGTTATTACGGTGCATTATATTCACCTTTATTATTTGCAGTTTTGACTGATAATGTTTGCTATGCTTTCACTGTTTTTCACTCATTTTCCTACGAGTTTTCTGTTCTATTTTCCACTGTGGGAGAGGACTATGTATGTACATAAAGTTTTATTTTAAAAAGACAAGTGTGGAGGCATATTGGAAATAAAACAAACAACATCACTTCTTGTGTGTGTGTGTGTGTGTGCGCGCGATTCAACATGATTTTTGTTTTTATTTGATTGTGAATTATGTTCCATTTTTTTAGAAAAATGTAAAAGTATGTTTTCACAGTTCTTGAGGCTTCTGTAAATGAGATCAAATTATAATAATAAAAATTCAACACCCTTTAAGTATATATACTTTTTGTCCATTTCATTGGACATCAGGTCAAAACAGTTGTACTTCCCGAATATTACACCAACATAAAATACAAAAAAATTGTTGGAATTTTTAAATGCATTTTCTAAATCACAAACATTAACATTATACTATTTTTACTTTTTCTATTTTGGAGGTTTTGTTGCATAGATTGCATCTTGTTTATATAAAAAAAGTTCCCTTCATCTTCCTCATCACTCCACATAGTCCACATGTGAGATTTCTATCTGCATTGATATAGTCTTTTATTTATATATATATATATATATATATATATATATATATATATATATATATATATATATATATATATATATATATATATAAAACAGATCTCAAACCCATTGTGCATCCTAATGGACAGACGTATTTGAGAAAAATCCTGATGTAAAGCTTGCAATGTTACACAAGATTTTAAACTAATTAGTAAGTGCAATCCCTCTTTTTTTTTTTACATACAATTTATGAAATATTGGCAAATATATCGGTATATCTGAATAAAACATCGTAAATGTGGCTTGTGTCTGGAGTGAAGTAATGCCATGCTGCTTTTCAATGTGGTGGATTTTTTTCAAATTACACCATGCCAAGCCTCATACTGCCATTTGATTGGATGACAATCATCCACTTTCATTGACTGCTAGCTTTAAATTAGATGAAATGCTCAGGAACCACACAAAAAGTAAATAAATAAAAAAAATGTAAAATTTGTGGGTTGACATGTGCATTATAATGGACAAAGGGTCCGAAGGGGTTCTGCACTTCAACGATGCAAGCAGCTTCATTTGAACTAATTTTCAGTCTGAATTATTAGCCTTCATATATATTTTTCCCCAATTTCTGTTTAATGGAAAGATTTTTTTTTTCTAACACATTTCTAAACATAATAGCTTTAATAACTAATTTCTATGAACCGATTTCTTTTTATCTTTGCCATGATGACATAACATAATATTTGACTAGATATTTTTCAAGATACAGTTTAAAGTAACATTTAAAAGCTTACTATATGGGTTAACTAGGCAAATCATTGTATTATGATGGTTTGTGCTGCCGACAATTAGAAAGTTTTACTTAAAGGGTTAATACAGGGTGTCCACAAGATCTTAAAAAGTAGTATTAAAAGTTGATCAATCAACTTAGAGAAATTTAAGGCCCTTAAAAAGTATTAAATGCTATTTAGCAAGGTTTTAAATTTTATAGACTTTTTAATCATGCAATGTATAGTATATGCTACAGTTTGCCTGAATTAAATCTGTGAATATTAGGATGCTGTGTAGTTTATGAAATCAATGGAATCCTGCTAGATCCTGCTTTGTGTACTTCAGTAACCCCAAGGCAACACCATTATTTAAGCAGTTCTATATGCACCAACCTGTTGAATTAGCAAGATTTAATAGATTTTTATTCAGTATATAATATAATGAATTTAGCAAATATACTGCAAGTTAAAATCTCACCAGTATTTCCAGTTAAAAAGAGGTTATAAGGTCTTAAAATGTATGGAAAGAGTCTTTTAAAAGATCTTAAAAGGTATTGAATTTCACTCTCTGATTTCGGTAAATACTCTGTAATAATTTTGACCTTATATGGTCTGAACTGCTTTCATTCTAGCTGAAATAAAACAAATAAGACTTTCTCCAGAGGACGAAATATATGAAATACTGCAAAAACTTCCTTACTCTGTAAAAACTGCTGCTGAAAAATCATTTAGGAGATATTTGATAATGAAAAAAAATCATTTTGACTTTAACTGTATGATTTCTCTGGTATCTATTGGTTGCTGTAGTGTCTGCGTAAAATCTGAAGCGCTGTTTGGCTCCTCACGTGCCTTTCTTTCTCTGCATGTGTATCAGCTCTGGCCTGTTCGAGCTCCTTCTGAAGCCTCATCAGCACAGACTCATTTTCTATCCGAGCTGCTTTTTCAATCCTTTCTCCTTCACACTTCCACTGCTCTCGCACTCTTTCCAGTTCCCAAGCGAGTTTGGAGCGCTCCCGTACACCCTCCTGCATGTCCTCTTTGGCTTGTTTCAGAGTTGTCTTCCACCTGTTCGCCTCTTCCTCCTTTTCCCTGACCTCTAGAGTCAGCTTACGTAACTGAGCGTTCATTTTTTGGCTCTCTGACTTGAGATCATTCATCATGAGGGCCTGACGTGCAGCCCTTTTTTTGGAGAGGCTTAACTGTTCCTCCAACTTCTCCACCATGCCTTGCAGCTTCATCCTTTGCTCATGTTCTGCCTTAAGCTGGTCTTCTGTATAACTGAGCTGTTGCTTTAGTCGCCATCTGTCCCTCTCCACTTCTTCCAAACAACTCCGTAGTTTGCTGATGTCTCTCTCAGTCCAAATGCATCTCTCAATGTCAGTCTGGTCAGAGTTTGCTCCTTCATGTTCAGGCTGATCGTGTCTGATAATTCTCCTGGTTAAGGTCTCTGTTTTTAGCGTTCGCTCAGTGTGTTGGACTTCTTTCAAAGCCCTCAGGTAGATCTGTCTTCTGCGGCTCCTCTGGGATTCAGCCCTGTCTGTGGAGTCAGATGATAATGGTTTCATTGAACTGTTGTCTTGTTCATTAGTGTTTGTATGACTTTCCAGCAAGTTTTGTAAGGTGAATCGAGGAGGGAAGAGTTTCTCCACCCAGTGATGATCATCTCTGGAGCTGGACTCGTATTGAGTGATCTCCATAGTCTTCATTCATTCAAATGTGATTGTTATTAAAGTAAGAACATCAAAGAACCGCGTACTAAAACTGAACAATGGTTTCATACGCTACTCTCAATAGGGCCATCAGTTGCCAAGCATATTCAGAGCTAAAAACAAATTAAATTAGGAAACCTCTAAAGGTTTCGATATTTGAGAAGTAGCATTCGTACTTACAACATCAGCGCCGTGTTCTGTGAACACAACTTCCTGTTTACTATCCGATATTTATAACTCAACGAGCGCTTTGCGCCCCCTGCTGGTTGTGTTTAATATTGCATATCCAATTTATATAAGCAACAAGTACAATATGTAAATTTGCCTTTAGCCACAGTAGCTATGTATTTGCAATTGTAAACAGGGTATCCGCGTGGTTTTAAAATGTCTTAAATCTAAAATTTAGTCCTTGAAATGTCTTAAATCTACAGAAATATTGTGTTGTAGGTCTAATTTTCCCTTGTTTTTGTAAAGCTGGCCAATCTGGCCATTACTGCCCATACAATCACCAACAAACTCAATCTCAATAAAACTTTTATCTTTCTATTTAAAAATAGCATTCAATTATTTTACTTACAGTAACATTTGCTTAACTTAAATAATTGGCAGCTATGTTTTTTCTATTCTTGTTAAGGGTCAAAGGGTTTGTGAATGGATATACTTGAAAATTAATTTAATTAATTTAATTAATTTTTCACACACTGAGGAAGGCATTGTGCCAAAACGTTTGTGTTTTGTATCACCTGAAGAATGTAAAATAAAAACTGTAAAAGCAATTATTTAATGAGAGCGAATCATGACCTTTTTTAAAAAAAAAAAATCAAACTAAATTATTATTGTACTATTAAATGTATTAAATTAATCATTTTTTTAATCGGTCAAGTGAAAATATTTTCTAACTGGGTTATAAAAAACAATTCTTAGCATTTAGCCCGGTATAAGTCATTTATTGTGTAAATTTAATTCATAATGGTCTTAAAAATCTTAAATTTTACTTTGTGAAACCTGCAGAAACCCTGTGTAAAATAATTTGTATAAACCATTTTGAGGGATGTAAACAAAAACAATCGTCTTTCATGTTTTACATTTTTAATTTCTATAGCTTCCGAGCATCCAAAAAAGAGTCACATATTAATCAATAGTAATATAATAGCTGTTTTAGCATTAAGTTTTGATTGAATTGTCTCTTGTTACAGTTATAAAAAAGTTTGATAACAAACAGGAAATGATCATTGGCCAATGACATGCCCACATTGAAATGGTCTATATTACAAAAGCCTATAGTAGTTCCTTATTTTAGCTGTTTGTTTCATGTCAGTGCCTGAGAGCTCATGATATTACTTCTGAAACTAACTGCATATGATTGATGCATATATTGTGATTTTTATAATCCACCGCTTTGGAATTATAGGATTTTGTTTGCATTCTGTGTGGTTTTGATGTATTTAGCCTAAAAATGATATGGGGATAAAATTCTCTATAATCCTAAAATGTAAAAAAGCACATAATAGGAATGTAAATTGAACATGATTATTTAAGCGTGTTTTTTTGAACATCTATCACATTATACATTATAACACATGAGCCGATGCTTTGTCTTAAAGGGCCAAAAAGCAAACTTGATTGAGGGCAGTGAGCTGAAGGTAAATATACCAAATTGTATTACATTAAAGTTGCCATGGGTAATTAATAATATTCAAAAATAACAATTAATTATTGCTTTATATTAATTAATGCAGTGTTTTTAATATTCCATGTTTAAGAGTTAAAAACAATCTCATTTATAACAGAATGAAGTTCAACGCCGAATACACGAGTCAAGTAGCACCTGTGTTTGCCTTGATTTAATGTCTCGCTGATGTCTTCGGCATTGTTCTCTTCAACATGGGCCAACTTTGCCCTGCGGGCCCTAATTTGGGCATCTCTGTTTTAACGTGACTGCGTAAACAAAAATAATTGTTTTAGGTTATATCTATATATTAAAACATATTATCAGAGCTTAAATGTTAATTTGTTTAATTTAAATCAGGGGTGCCCAAATTTTTCCTATGAAAGGCCAAAAATTAAACTTGATTGAGGGCAGTGAGGCGAAGATATGTATATCCAACTCTATTACAAAGTTGCCATAATTCATTACTATTATTTCAAAATAAATAGAAAACATTACTTTAATCATTAACCAATGCATAATATATCATTTTATATTTTATAATGGCCCTATTATGATGAAAATATAATTCTATTTATAACACAATGGAGTTTATTGCCGAATACACTAGTCAAGCTGCCTTTGCTTTGATTTACTCAATGAGGACTTCTGAATTGGGGTCTATATGTTGAACAATGGGATGTTCATAAAAAAAAATTTAAAAAATGGATTCATTTAGAACATTAAATAAAACACCTGCTTTTTTTCGTAGCTTAACACCAAAATAAACCAGTGAAAGGTTACATTAAAGAAATGACAATGTGTATTAAAAAGCTTTAACCCCAACTCTTCCCAAAATTCTCTCGCGCTTCTCAGATGGTATAGTGGGCCAAATCAGGGTTACCATGGGCCAACTTTGGCCCCCTGGGCCTAGTTTGGGCATCTCTGATTTAAATGATAATTGTTAAGCTCAGCATGATTTTTATATTTCAGTATTTTGAGCTGATTTATATCCAATGCGAAATTGTTGAAGTTTTATTATCAGACATGCATATAAGATCATTTTTAACTGACTCCCGGTACTGTTTCAAAAGATCTTTAGACAGAAAGTAAAGCTATCACTAGGGTGGTTTTCAATAGTACAAAACCTAAAAGTTCCACCTTATATAGCCCTTAATAAGACTTGTGTAGTACCTTTTTATAAAAAAATTGCAGTTAACAGTGACACGGTGGCACAGTGGATAGCACAATCGTCTCTCAGTGAGAATGTCGCTGGTTCGAGTACCGGCTGAGTCAGTTGGCATTTCTGAGTTTGCATGTTCTCCTTGTGTTGGCGTGGGTTTCCTCCAGGTGCTCCGGTCTCCCCCACAGTCCAAAGACATGCGCTATAAGTGAATTGGGTAGGCTAAATTGTCCCTATGTGTGTGAATATGTGTGTATGGATGTTTCCCAGTGATGAGTTGCAGCTGGATGGACATCCCCTGCGTAAAACATATGCTGGATAAGTTGGCGGTTCATTTCGCTGTGGCTACCCCAGATTAATAAAGGGACTAAGCCGAAAAGAAAATGAATGAATATTGCTGTTATGCAGTTTTATGCTATAATTAGCATTTACTTCAATAATTTTAAAACACTCACACACACAAAAAACTTTTTGATTTAGTTTGTTTTCCTCAGACACTTTAGTCAGTGTTTCTTTAATATAGTATAATCTAGCAGTTGCTGTCTAATAAGTAAATGCATACACCCTATCCTTTTTCACGCTGATCATTTTCTTTGTGTCTTGTGGAGAAGGAAAAAGTAGGTTAAAGTTCAAAAGGACGCTCATAGTTTCCTCCTATTTAAAGAAGAGAGCGGCAACTTCCAGATATTTTCATATAAAGTCAGTCTAGAAACCTGTCTCTATGGTCATTGTATTAAACAGTTTGAAAATGTATTTACATCTACAACTTACTTTGCAAGCAAACTCGACAAATAAGCACAAGATGAAGTGGCAGATAAAATGACGCGGGAATGCTGCGGGAAATGCTCTTTGAAGTCCAATACAATGGTGCACATACAACACACTGTGGAGAATAGTGGGGGTTGAGGGAACTGAGGTCAGAGGTCAACAAAGCCTTCTGCCTCTCACTGACCATAGGATTTATTCCCATAAAGCTAAACGACAGCATCCAACACTCATAACTATATTTAGGAAGCTTTTTTAATGACGTGTAGGCTAATGTCGTGAGATTTGCATTTGCAAGATTCCCACTGGTTTTGATAAGCAGTTATTTTTACAGCCAAGGCACATTTTTAGAGGGATTTTGAGCGGACCTTCCTTCACCCCCACCCCCAACAAGAAAAAAAGGGATGCTCTAAAATTACATGCATGACATAACATTTTGTTGTCTATCTGGAGTAGTGGTGATATGGGTTGAACATGAAACATCTGCGCTGTAAGGTATTGAAACCTTCAAGATAAAACTTCACGATCAGGTATGTGGACTATTTCACTTTATACAGCAGCTGTAAATGATGTCTGTGCACTATCCAACGACAAAATGTCTAGTGTTTTAAATGTGTTCACCTTAAATTTACATTTCAAGAAAAACATTGCTCCAAAATAGGGAAATGTGCTACTTAGAAGTGTTGTATTCGCCTCTATTTGCTTGTAAGTTAAGTTTAAAGTGCTAGTTCACACTAAACTAAATAATCTATCATCATTTAATCTCACTTGTTCCAACCCTGTTTGACGTTCTTGTGTTAAACAGAAAATAGATTTTGAAGAAAGCTGGAAACACAACAATAGTATTTGTTTTTCCTGGAAGTTTTCAGCTTTCTTGAAAATATCTTTTGTGGTCAACACAATAAAGAAACATATAAAGGTTTGGAAACACCTGAGGGTAAACAACATGACTAGCAAGTAGCTACATTTAGTTTTTTTTGGCTGAACTATGCCTTTAAGTAAATACAAGCCTCGTCAAGGGAGTGTTAACAGGCAATAAACACTATTCCTTGAAACAGTGTAATTGTTTATAATTCCTTTAGGCAACTGATGGTAAAGTGGTAAATGTGATATAGGAGAGCGGATATGAGTTGTGGGGGGATTGAGTGAGTTGTGTGAGGGAGGAGGAGGAGGCTCGAGGCCCATCATCACATGACGAGACGTTCGCGCCTCTTTCGTAAACCTTCTCCAACCTGATGATCCCAAACAACTCGGAGGTTACGCGCTAGTTTAATTTCCACCGAGGCCTGAAACGCGTCCGAAAGCTACAGCTGCTTGGCGCCGTGACCAGAGATCAGCCTTGGGTCTGTGCTGTGGCGAGTAGTGATTGGAAACTTTTAATTTTGACAGTGTTTGTCGGTAGGACAGGCTTTTGTGTGTGTGTGTGTGTGTGTCTGTGTGTGGGGAGCAGCTGGGGAGCTAACAGACAATGTAGGAGAGATGGATCAATCAATGGACTCCTGAGCGCTTAGATATTATATTTGTAGGTGATTGGTTGCCTTAAGTAAGTATGCATGTAAGTGTAAAGCGTTTAAAATGGCATAATTAATACTAGCAATTTATTGCGAGTTTATCTGGGATGTGTTTAATCTGTGTGATTTTGTCAAGTGTTCCGGTTGTTTTGGAAAGGAAATGAAACAATTAAGGCTGTCTTTACACGATTTGCTGATTAATATTTAACCTGTGTTACTAGTTTGCGCTAGGGCAAGTTAATGCACTAAAGTTACCTTTTTGGGTAAATCTGGACCATGTTATAAAACGTCTCTAAAGCTTAATAATTATAGAAATTACAAATATGCGAGTTTAAAGCTTAAAACGTTATACACGTTGAATTTCGAGATTTAGTGCTGATTATGTTTTAAACTCATATATACTCGTAGCATTAGTGAATTTCACGTGGCTCTTTGCTACAGAAAGGGGCAATCTATCTAAATCTAAACTCAAGTGAGAAACTATAGATGAATACAACATTACTTGTGAAGCTGAGTGTTCTGGGAAAAGCTACTTGCACCGTCGTTTAACCTCTTAATTTTCCTTCACACTTAACCCAGTTTTGTTGTTTTTGTCTGCGTTTATAGATACTAGGAGTTCGTTTCCTGTTGAAAACACCCACTCTTGTGTAAACACAAGCTTTTCAGCTGCTTTGCTTAAATTGTAGCGTAATAACCATGTTATATCATTAAAGGGTTCGGCGTTGATTAAACATCAGCTTCCGAAAGGAGAGCTCGTGGGCCACACAAGCAGAAGATCGGGCACCGACCTCAAGGCCTAGTTAATGTTTGCGGATTCGACCTCACAGTCAGACGAATATTCAACTGTTGCTTTTCCCCTCTGTCCTGGACCCCTGTGATTCAATAGAGCGCGAAATTAAGTATATTTGTTGGCTATAAACGCATAAATGCTATTAGAAATCAAACAACGCAGCGTGAAGAAATCAACATTTAAAGGAGCTTAAGTAATGAGTGGGCCATTCCTAGAGTTTGTGTTGGATTTAATTGGACTAATTAGCATATAAAAGAGTAGTGAGGGTCTTCCTACTAGTTGTGCTTGCCTTCAGTTGAAGATCCTCCATTTTGAGAGACCCTGTGAAACACGAGCAAAGCGCGCCAATCACCAGAAACTGACGTTCAGCCAGACTCAAAACTATGGAGAATTTGACTAAAGTTTTGAATCGTAAACTTATTCGAGTGTTTCAACCTGCAGTATTTTTATGTTATTTTTTGTTTACATATTATTATCTATTTAGTTCAATTTCAGAACAAAAACGTGTTAAATATGAACACTTAATAGTGATTTGTAATAGGGCATACGTTTTGTAAACTTAATTAATGGATTCTTTATGTTAGTGATTTTTTTTAGCCATGCAAGCATGTTATAAGGTTGTTAATCTTTTTTTTTCCCTTTTCCCCCCTCTAGGTGCAGTGATGACTAATGAAGCATTTTCATTGTGTTCAAGAAAAACACACATTGCTTTATTATAATATGGCCTTCCTGCTAAGGTGCATCTTGTGTAGTTAGTGAAGTAGTCTAGTATCTACTGCGCTAGATGTTCCTTTTGGCAGGAGTAGCTGTATATTCAGCACACGGAAGCAAACATACTATCATCAAGTTCTATAACATGCAGTTCTTGTTTTATCAATTATTATTGTTTTGTTTTAATTATTCTTTCTTTTATGATCTGTGTTGAGTTTGTCCTGGCAGTTCCAAAGTGCTCACAGTGCAGGTAGTGCCAGTGGATCTACTGCAATGTCTGCACTTCAAGTATTGCCGGACGCCTTCTGCCTGCCACTGTGGAGCTGCACTAGATGCTGCTTATGGAAAAGCCCTGTTATCTGGGGTGAGTTTTGCAGGATTGCATCCGGCTTTATTACAACATGCTGTGCAAATCCATGCAAAACTCGCTGCGCCAGGGACAAACCACTTCTACAATCAAGATTATATTTCTAGTCATGCGAATGCAAAAAGTTTAATGCAAAACTCTTTTGGAAATAAAGTCTGTATGATATGCCATAATTCTATGACACTAGTATAGTAAGAAAATAAGATGCTGAGTTTTCTGTGTAGTAGTCCTAAGTGACAATTGCTTGTAATAATGCTACTTCTCAAAAATATATTTAAAATGTTTTTGCATGATTTAAAAAATATATTTAAATGCAAATATTTGTCTTGCTGTTTTCGGGTGGATGACTCTGCAATTTTATTAGTGATGGAAAAACTTCAATAAAAATTGCACGGTATCCATCTGTAATCCGCTGGATTCCATTACCTGCGTTTGTTCCTTTTGTATATCAATGTATGCTTCAAACTGTTTAATAAAATTATTAAGTTATTTGACTCTCCTTTGCATCTCCCTGGTTGAAATTGATTTCAGATATTTTTAACGAGTACACCTAGCAATGACATTCACCAACACCAGATGGCAGCATATCACAAAAAATCACAAATGTGTTTGTTTGCACTGCATATTCAAATTAATTGTCAAATATAAATTTGTTAGCCACCCGTAATGCAGACATAGTCAGAATATCCAGTCACCAGCCGGTAAAACTATCAAGTGTAACTTTTTAGCCGATTAAATTAGCTCGACACCTGATTTAAGTCCAGGTCGGGGCGGAAAAGTCCATATAAATGGAGTATTTTAGACTTGGTCTTGGCGTCTCTAGTGTGCGCATGACCGCGGCAGGGCACGGGCTTCATAACGCGCCTCCTGTCGTCATAATCATAACTTTACCGTCAGAACAAGAGTTCAATATACCGACCACTTCTGTAATCGGTAAGATCTGAATGACGCTGAAATCGTGTAAATCTCGCTGTCACTCATGCCTCAGGGAAGCGTGACCTTGATTTGTGAGCATGAAGTTTGTGTTTGTTAATGAGGTAGAGATGAAGAGCTCCACAGGACCCTCCTCACCCTCACTCCAGTGATGCCGCCGCTCAGTCCAGTACATCGCTTACTGCTCACTTCAAGCAACGCACACCGAGCCCGCTTTCTTCCTTTGTAAACAAACCTGTCATCTGGAAGCCTTATTTTCCGCCAAATATCTCTTGTTTTCAGCACATTTGGATTCATGATGCCTGGACTGAAGTTGTACGGTGCGCTGATTTTGTGTGTCCTGGTGCTGCCGTTCTCCCGTCCGAGCAGTCAGGTGCTGGACTGTCGCGAAGTGCGCTCGTCCTTTCAGTTTTTGTACCCGGGGATGAAATGGACCCCAGAAACCCCAGTTTCAGGTAAAACTACATATTCAGATCCTCAAGATATGCTTATTCATATTTTGTGTGGTTTGTTAAGCTTTCTAAAGCATCGCGTCCAAAAGTTTTACCTGTCATCCAGTAAACCTTGGGACTGTTGTCATAAATGTTGTCACGTTTTGTTTCATGTTTGTAATAGTTCATGAATACTGAATGAAAACATAGTTTTAATTAAATTGGACACCTTTCTAGGGGTATAAACCTGGCTATTGATATATGTTTAGTTGCGCAACCTCAGTTTTTGAGAATGTACTTTGAGTTATTTAGATCTGACATTAAACATAAAAAACACATAAATAAAGGAATTCAGCATATATCAAACTACAAACGATGTCACCATTAGATGAAATTCGTACGGCAGGCCATTTTAGCATTTAATTTAGTAATAATTATTAGTAAACAATCTTTATATCCTGCTACTTAAATATAGCCTACCTGAGTTTTTTACACTAGAATCAACAGTGTACTATTCTTATCGTATTTATTGCAACAGCATATTCCAGCTTCACTATGCTTGGACAATACAGTTGAAGACAGAATTATGAGCCCCCCGTTGATTTTTTTCCTCAATTTCGGTTTAACAGAAAATATTTTTCAACACATTTCCAAACATAATAGTTTTAATAACTCATTTCTAATCACTGATTTATTTTATCTTTGCCATGATTACAGCATATAATATTTTACTATATATTTTTAAGACACTTCTTTACAGCTTAAAGTGACATTTAAAGGCTTAACTAGGTTAATTAGGTTAACTAATCAGGTTAGGGTAATTAGGCAAGTTATTGTATAACAATGGTTTGTTTTGTAGACTATCGAAAATAAATATTAAAGGGGCCAATAATTTTGACCTTAAAATACTTTTAAAAAATTAAAAACTGCTTTTATTCTAGCTCAAATAAAACAAATAAGACTGTCTCCAAAAGAAAGAAATATTATCAGACATACTGTGAACATTTCTTTGCTCTGTTAAACATTATTTGGGAAATACTTAAAAAAGGAAAGGGTGTTAATAATTCTGATTTCAACAGTATATGAGATACAATTGAAAATGAACAATGCAACTTTGTAAAGTTATGCTATAAACTGCTAAACTGTCAACATAACTGACTGCTCAGCTTCTGCATTCTACTTCACCCAGAGACAGCTCAAAGAAAGCAATACAGCAAAGTTAGATACGATGGAATTTCAATGTCTGTCAAGGCACTGATGTTTTGCATCACTGTCTTTGTGTCAGTACCTCAAAGAATGCACTGTATGCTGTTGAGTGTAAAGCTTTTAGATGTCAGGTATTGAACAGAGCTTTGTTTTATCCACTGTGCATTACAATGTATTTGCAAACAGATCATTTAGCCGTGTCTCAAATTGCACTCTTTGCTTATGACACCTGTGTGATCACAGCTGACATAAAATGAAGAATTAGGCTTCATACAACAAAGACTGTTCAGTCAAAAATACTACAGTTAGTTTAGGACATCCCTAACGTTAGAGGCTAAATGTTAAAATGACTTGCCATATAGAGATCTATTTATAACAATTGCATCTTCTGTACACATTTCATGTGGTATTATTTTCACCTTCCGTGTGATGTGCAGATCCATCAGTAGGTATGAAGATGAAATAAGTGTCTTGACTGGATTGTCATCTTCAGTTCTGAGCTGTGGCTGCAGAAAGAGCCAGAGGAGAGCTGTAAATGTATTTCTCTTACCCATAACTAGTGTGAATTACCTGTCATACTGGAGAAGGCGAATTGTGTTAGTGTGTTTATTGAGGTTGCTACATTTCCCAGCGGAGAGCTGAGGAGATAGATGAGTTGAGATGAATGACAGGATGGATGGCTGACTCTCTTCTTGACATCTTCCCTTAACTGCTTGAAGCTTTAATTCTGTCTCAACTGGAGTCTGGAGGGAAGGGGGGTGAAAACATGGAGTTTGTTTGGCCCTCACAACAAAAATTCTGCTGAAAAGGAGCTTGCTTTTCCCCAGTGACTGCATTTTGTTGTTTGGCTGCTTTATGTGCAAGTATCTTCATTTTTTCCCTTAGTGGCAGCAATTTCCCTTTAAAAAGAGATAGATTAAATCTTATATCACTATTCTAATCATTCCCTTAAGTTAATTGACATTCAAAACACTTTTAATTAAAATTGTTTTCGTAACTGAACATCTAATATATATTAAAATCATTTACTTTTATTACTTCATTGAAATATTTTGAACCGTGATAAATGAATGCTGGGGTCTTTCTAATTCCATGTGACTCAAATAGCAGGTAAATGAATGTTAAACCCTGAGTGATCCCTGCTTTCAGGAGATATAAAGTGACCTTCCCAGAGTTCCATTTAATCAGAGGTGCTGTTCGTTTTTGCAGACTTCCCATTTGCAATTTAAATGGATTGCAATTGGGTTAAGGACAAGGAACAGAGTGATATTCTCAGTCATTTGCCTTCTCAGAGGAATTTTTATACGTTTTAACCTTTATCGGAGTTTAAGAAAACGTTCTATTGGACTGCCAGAATGTGTTTCCAGTATCTGGTCTATTTTTAATTAAATATTATGAGGATTGCGTGCATGAGATATATCATTCGTGTATGTTGTGCATCTTTTTGCAGTGCTATGCAGTTTTCAGAATTTCTTCAAAAGCATTTTGGGTTGCTTGTGCTATTTATCTGTAGCTGGTAGGGGACTTCATTTCCTGATGGGTACAATCCTGCAATAAAAGTCTTTTTGAAGCTCTAGTTTTTTGAAACCTAAACATTGTTCTTCAGAGAAAGGACTAACTGAGTTTTTTTTTCTTTCAGAAGTGTGCCGCAGGCAGTGTAGAGTCCTGATAATCCCAGCGGCACTAGGCTCTGGACTTTATGCCTGGTGCAGTAATTAGTGGTGCGGCAAAGCCTTTGGCTTTATTCATTTTGATTCATTATATGAACCGATACCGCACAGGTCCAGCATATGTAGCTTGAAACCTTAATTGGCTGTCCTAGTATTATGTCAGACTATGAAAGTATGTGAGGTTAATTGTTTGCCTCCCTTATTTGGTATTGATTTATGTGTTGGCCAGAAGCACCTTAAGAGGCACACTTGCTGAGAAAAATGGCAAAACAGTTGTGTGAACCGCACATAATAACTTTCCCCTTTAAAGACTGAATGTCTTCAATAGAGATATTAGTCTAAACATTGTAATAATGGCATATTATAAAAAAATCTGATGAGAGTTTGAGGTGATTGTATTAAGCTTTATACAATCAAAATGAGCATTGTCAAAAGAGAGCTGTCCAATTTTCTTCAATCAGAGCACCTATGGTGCATAAAACTGGCTTTAAAGTGCACTGTAAAAAATAAAATTACCATTTGTTCAGCACACTGTACTTTTTCTGTAATATATACTAAGAATTGTGAATAAATATTGACCTAAAAATGATAAAAATAAAAATATGTTATGTCAACAATATTCGCTAAGTGAAGTTTATTTATAAACTAGTTTCGAGAGGATCACATGCTTATGATTGCTTGCAGCCGGTCCCGCATTATTCAATTCATGATTCACCAATCAGACGATTTCTAAGCCACCATAAAGTTCCATATAAATGCCATCTTCGTTTTGAAGAATCCCCCCTTCCACCCCTACTCCTCCTCCTTTCCTAGATGGGTGGCATGGTGGCCCAGTGGTTAGCACTGTTGCCTTACATCAAGAACATTACTGGTTCTAGTCCTTACCAAGCCAGGAGACATTACTGTGCGGAGTTTACACATTCTCCCCGTGCTCACATGGGTTTTCCGCGGGTTCGTCCTACTGGCCAAAAACATGCAACTTCAGTTAATTGACTAATCCAAATCAGCACCATAGACATGCGCCTAGTTAGTAGTTATCTCTTACGAGCAGTCACTATCTGTTCATTAGCCACTACAGCAGGGGAGTTCTCGATCTACCTGAGCTCAAACTCTCCTCTTGTCTTGCAAACAGGAGGGAGCCCCAGGCTCGAGGATGCCAAACAAGCTTTATAATAAATCATCAGCTAGGCGTGATCTCTTAAAAATGTTATGTCCATATGTTTAACAGAGTTTTCTGGACAAACATTTTTGTGTTAAATAGCAATGTTGATATTTAAATAATTCGCAAATGCGTTATGCGATGATCAAAAACTAAGTTTGTGTATCTGTTGCTTGTAAGAATGGTGACATAGTCCTTCTTATCTTCTTATCTGCTCTCACTTCTTCAGATCTATGTGCCCTCCAGAAACTTGCGTTCTGTGAATGAACGTCGCCTCGTGGTTCCATCCCAAAGAGGGAAGAAATCACTTTCCCGAACGCTGGCGTTCAATCTGCCCAGTTGGTGGAATGAACTCCCTAACTGCATCAGAACGGCAGAGTCACTCGCTGTTTTCAAGAAACGACTAAACACTCAACTATTTAGTCTCCACTTCACTTCCTAATCTGCAATTGCCTCTCTGGATATCACACTAACTGTACCCAAAAAAAAAAAAATTACTGATGCTTTCCTTCTTAGACTTTACAGACCTGAAACTTGCCTATAGCACTTATTCATTGTTGCTCTTATAGTTGTGTTAATTGCTTCCTTGTCCTCATTTGTAAGTCGCTTTGGATAAAAGCGTCTGCTAAATGACTAAATGTAAATGTAGTGGTGCAGTAGGTAGCACAGTCGCCTCACAGCAAGAAGGTCGCTGGTTCGAGCCCCGGCTGAGTCAGTTGGTGTCTCTGTGTTCACATGGGTTTCCTCCCGGTGCTCTGGTTTCCCCCACAGTCCAAAGACATGCGCTACAGGTGTCTGAGTGTCAATGGGTTTTTCCCAGTACTGGGTTGCAGCTGAAAGGGCATCCGCTGTGTAAAACTTATGCTGGATAAGTTGGCGGTTCATTCCGCTGTGGTGGCCCTTGATGAATAAAGAGACAAAGGAAAATTAATGAAGTAGTAAGTTTGTGGTTGTAGTTTTTAAGTAAAATGATTAAAACAGGATGATAAG